AGCTGACTTCGAAGCGACATGTGTCATTCAATCACACTAGCAAAGATCTGTTTATAAATGAATCGCTATTATTAGGATTGTATTCAAGCATATTACTCAATTTGAAGCAATTTATATCACTCAATCACATCAATAAAGATGTCTTGATAAATGAATGGTCACAATTAAGATTGCATCCAAACGTATTACTCAATTCAAAGCGATGTGTCTCACTCGATCATACTAGCAAAGATCCTTTGATAAATGAATTGTTATAACCAGAGTTCCATTCATATATATTCCTCAATTCAGAATGAATAATGTTACTTGGTCAGATGAGCAAAGATTACTTGATAAATGAGTCTCTACGATTAGAATTGTATGCAAATATATCGCTCAATTCCAAGGGAGAAGTAACATTCAACCACATCAGTAAAGATTCCTTGATAAATGCATCGCCATGATTAGGATTGCATTCAAGTATACCGCTGCATTTGAACCAATGTGTATCACTTGATCACATCACTAAAGGGTCTCTGATAATTGAATTGTTATAATCACGGTTCCATTTAAATAAATGGTGCAATTCAAAACAACGTGTTTTTCTTCATCATATTGGCAACCATCTCTTGATAAATGAATTGTGATAAGGAGAATTATATTCAAGTATCTAGCTCGGTTCGAAGCGAATTATGTCATTCGATAGCACCAGGAAAGATCTCTGAAGAAATGAATTAATTTAAAGTACAGAATTCTGTTCGAATATCTAACTTGGCTGAAATCATAAATTTAGATGAAAAATATGTTCGCTGAATAGATGTCAATTGAATGGTGACTACAATCACTGGGTTCAAATATTGGTTAGATTGCAAGTATGTCATATGGCCGAAAATGCACTGAGGAAAATTGTAGAATATGAATAGAATAAAAAAATAATTTGTTCAGATGTCCACTAATTTACCGTAAAATGTGAGTTTAATATATACTTTGACAGATGATCTGAAGGTATTCGCATATTTTCAATCAAGCATAGATTCAACTACTTCAATGACTATAGCAAGAAGATCATAGTTGCTGTTTCAAATAACGATGACATGATGTATGCACCGACAGGACAAAAATTCTATTCAAATATTCCAAATAATTTCAATCAGTTGTTCGATATTGGTCTATCGACGAAAATAAACATTATACATGATAGTTTTTTACGCCCAGTTGTTGTTGTCGTTGAAGTTGTCGTTGTTCTCGTTGTTGTTGTTGAAGTTGTTGTTGTCGTAGTTGTTGTTGTCGTTGTTGTCGTTGTTGTTGTTGTTGTTGTCGTTGTTGTTGTTGTCGTTGTTGTAGTTGTTGTTGTTGTCGTTGTTGTCGTTGTTGTTGTTGTCGTTGTTGTTGTTGTCGTTGTTGTTGTGGTTGTTGTTGTAGTTGTTGTTGTTGTAGTTGTTGTTGTCGTAGTTGTTGTTGTCGTTGTTGTCGTTGTTGTCGTTGTTGTCGTAGTTGTTGTTGTCGTTGTTGTCGTTGTTGTTGTTGTTGTTGTTGTCGTTGTTGTTGTTGTTGTTGTCGTCGTTGTTGTTGTCGTTGTTGTCGTTGTCGTTGTAGTTGTCTTTGTGGTTGTCGTTGTTGTAGTTATTGTCGTAGGAGTAGCTAAATAGATATGGTGAGTTGTATTGAATTATAACTACGCTGTACTACACAGTATTCTTGTAGTGTATATTGACAAATCAATCTCAACTCAGTTTTGAGTTTTTATACAGAAAATCCACAGTATTTTCAACATGTATCATAGGCTAGGTTTAGAGTTTGGTAACAAACAGTTTGAACATATTGATCTATGATCTCAAATGAATAGTGATATGTCGTACTTTGTGGAGCACATTCTGAAACAGTGAATATAGAGCTGAACTCCATTGTTCTTAGCTTAAAATTACTCAAAGGTAAACTTCTAAGTAAGGAAAAGCAAAGTCAGTCTTTGTTTAAGCATGTTATTGTTGAAACTCCTTGCCATTATATCTATCATTTTTGACTAAATATGTTGTAGTTTCAAGTATTTTCCTTCCATCATGAGTATCTCATCAGAAAATGACATGAGTTACGCAGTTGATGTAGTTCATTCAAGAGAAAATTTGGTCGAAATACATCCTTCTGATACATGTGCTTCTCTTATTGTGCACTTTGATTCTTTCTTTTGTTATCGAGCGTTTTTCTTTCATATTCTCTTGGTTCGTGTTCTTAAGAATAGTGTGATTTTGATAGAATTCGAACATCTGATTTTCAACTTTTGATGGAAGAAAAACATTTATCCAAGGCTGTGGGGTATGGCTGTGAAGGTGGGTAGATGTAAGAGAAGAGAAGATCTACACCCACTCTCAGACTCCATATCCACATTAGAACACACCGGCAGTCTCGAGATTTAATTTAAATCTTTGCACATTTCTGCTAATACTCTATTCAGAATTTCATTGTCAAAATTCTATCCAAATTCATAACTGTTTTTATTCACGATCCCTACAAAAATGTATGCATAGGTTTCACCAAGATTTTAGCTCGTTTTTATTCAGGATCTATTCAAGATTTGTATATGTTTGGATCAAAACACGAGTTTCAATACTACAGTCGAGCAAAACCTCAACAATAATCAATAGAATGATTTTTCAAATGTTTATTATGTTCTTTTAGGAGTCTGATAGAATTCAGCAGACTACGCGAATTTTCGAGTGTGGGTGTGTGTCTACCATTCTCTCACATCCACACTTAAGTAGATACTTGAATATTGCTCGAATGATTGTGTGAAAAGTGGATTAGTATCTATGAAACAAATGATTAGACATAGAGTTGAGAGGAAGGGTCTAGAAAGTTTTCGATGTTTTAGAAAACAGAGGTAGAAGACTAGAATGTTCAGGAAGAAAGATAGCTTTCTTTCTTTTTTCAGAGTAAAGCATTAGAGGAAGGTATATCTAACTTTGGTGATGGGTATGAAGTTTTCTTTTTTGCAGATGATAGTTGAACCGGAATATTTGGCAGCTTTTTCATAGTTTCTTCGTTACCGAGTTTATTATAGAATCGGCTGATTTATTAGTCGCTTGAAGAGGTGTAAGAAAATTTGCTGATTTTAATAAAGTAAATCATGTTTTATAGTTTTTGAGAAGTAGAGATATCATTCGGTGTGAAACGGAAGTTTCGAGCTAGTGAGTTTTTTTAACTGGGCTGGCGTTTGCTATAGTACTGCTCCATCGATGTGAAAAGTTTAGTAGACAAATCATTTTGCTCTATTCTAACATGAAGTCACTCGAAGGTAGATGAGAATTAGATATGATAGAAGCGATTAGTTGCTGCCATTCTTCCCATCAAGATATTGAGGAAAACATAAAGGGTCTTTGAGAATAAGATATTTTTTAGGAGTTTGAATAGTATTAATATTTCTATTAATGAAGGTAAGCTCTTTTGCAGGATACATTCAGGTCGCTGATAGCGTGAAATACTTCTGGAGGATATTCCGTCTAATGCTTTTTTATGTTTAACGCCGATGACTTTATCACATGAGTCGTTCTGTCTAATGCTTTCCAATTAGGGATGTTGCCCATTTTGTCAACAAAAAAAATTCAGCTTTTTTATTTTTTGTATTTTTTCTATCATTACGAGTGATGTGACGTCTAACTTTTGTGGATCTTCTCGTAATGAATAGCCTCTCTTTCAATTTCACTTGATGAGAAAAAGCACTTTTTTATCCTTGTCTCCGAAACACTGCAATTGATTAATCAGAAAGAATGATTATTTTACATTTCAAAATAAAAGAAGAGTGAATATTTTTAGAATAATATTTGACACAAACAATATTGAGATATGCGGTTTTCATCTTTTAGAAGCGGAGATAAAGCTGCATTGAATCGCATAGATCACATATTTATGACAACTTTTCTTAAGGTTCCTTGCCAAGTTTTCTAAGAAGTCGAAGTCTTTAAATAGGTTTGTCAGATGAGATTTTTATCAAAAAAATTAAGAAAAAAAAACCAATTTTTGTGAAAAACCTGCCGATAACATGTAGTAAAATGTTCATAACTCATGATGGACTAAACCTTACTACATGGAACTTACAGAGTTTATAGGTCTATAGTTTATTATTCTAGTATACTTCTGAAAATTAAGATTCTACTACTTTTACATTACACAATGTTTTGTTTTTAATAAACTTGATAGCAGACCCTGAAAAAACTTGTCAGAAACATTTGACTTATACGATTTGATGCAGCTTCATACCCTTATGTAAACGGTGCAACCCAGAGATCTCTATTTCGTTTTCATCAAACATTATTCCAAAAATACTCAACCTTCCTTTGATTTTAAAATTGGAAAATAGACACAGTGGACGATAACCGCTACCATTGCAGCGGGTAACTAAGACACTATTTAGACGATATTCTGGAACGCAAGCCTCGAACATTCTTAGTAGAAATAAATTGAATACCAGAAAGGCTGCACACTTGAATTATTGAACACTCACATTTCAACCCCTTCAGTGTTTAAATGTTTGGCCATTTCATTTGAAAAGTAACTTTTCAAAAGGATGTTTTTGATTTCTACGTTGCTATATTATATCACACAGTTGTTTAGTGACAGACTCGATCCTTAGTTAATAGATTTTTCTGAGTTTTCCTAGATTCTGTATGTCATCAATGATAAATTTGTCCGAGTCCCAGCCGTTAGATATTATCGGATTCATGAATCACTTCTCCAAAGTCGTATCTCGGTATGTAGACAATTTGTTAGTGGCATATATTTATCTCATAGATTGATCTTTGAATAGAAACAATCGGTGAATTAGCTTTTAGAGCAGCTCAAACTATGAAGAATCATCTTACTGTTCGGGGGACACACATTGCTCACAATAATCGATGTCGCAGATCCACAGGTCACGATTGCCGTACAGTAAAGGATGGTGTCTGGTCCTGGTGTATATAAATAAGCTTGCTTAGAATTTCCGTTTGGATATGTTTGATTAATTGTGCCCGATTTCAGGAAGGTACAACTGATGAAATAGAAGGATGATGTTGAGCCCTGAAGAACAAAATGCCAACCAAAAGTATTGTTGTTCGGAGATGATGGACAAACATCAGATTTATAACTTGTACTTGGCGTATTCATTTGATTCGACTGAAGGTTAATAGTACAGTTTTCTAAAATGAAGATATTCTTTAAGGTTTTCAATGGCAAAAGCTGAGGAAGTTATGAATGAAAGTAGCGATATCAAAATACTTCAAATTTACTTCTTTCATCAAGCTCTTTCAGAAACCTAAAAAGCAGAACGAACGATAGACTGAATTTCGTCAAGAAAATTCATCGTGAGGAGGAAAGTAAAATTACAACTGTAATCTTTTGTAACAAAAGAGAAATTTTCCAAAAGCAGGACTTCAAGGAATTACCATCCAAGCATTTTCTGCGGCGCACTTGTCTGTCTCGGTGTTCTTCAGTTTAAGTGAATAAGCTTATACGATATGTTCATGTTCTGTTATCATCTTCAGTATAAGCTATATGTCTCGCCAAAAGTAGTGACATTATCTCGAGGAAAAGTTATTATCTTTTATATGTATCTGCATTGTTCCAATTGAGTCTATTCAATATTAGTCTTACTATTGTTTTTCATTCGATTTGGAATGTTGTATGATTATTTTAGATGAATAAGTTTCTACCATGCATACACAAGCTGAATAGGGATCTGCAATGACCACCCAAGATTTGACATCAAGTGAAAATTAGTATCAAAGTAAGCATTGAAGTGTTCTATGGCAACGATGCAAATATGCATGAGAGACAATAGCTGTTCACTCAAGCAAACGCCATTGTTTTGATGAAACATGATAAATATATGGATATCAATAACAAGACATACAAATGCGATATATTCAAAGCGAAACAACCAGTGCTGTACAACAATAGAAGAACTGAAACATAGTATACGTTTTGTATCAAATGCATCTTAATAAGTATTGATGGATACAGCGAGAAACGTGAACCTATTGCTATCTCAACAACAATGACAGGCATACCGAAAGATTCTTTAAAACGTCATATATACCAACATATACTTTAAAGAATTACATATCCTCGGAAGCACGATTGCAGCTTTTGAGTTTCCAAAAGCCTAGCAACAGTCCATCATAGCTATTCACGAAATAGAACTCTTGAAAACTCATTAAGGGTTTCCAACAAGATAAGAAGCAGTGAAATATTGCATCCACCGAAACACAGGCGTCTATAGAACGCAGCAACATCCGTGACATCCGCTCGAATGATCATTGATCTGAGTAAAAATTTGAACTATTTGAGCGGATTTCGTCAGGATGTATAGCTTTTCAAACTTAGTTAGATCAAAGAGTGTTCATCAGTGAAGATGGAGTTTTTTATTCCCTCTAATAATTAAAACTTCAGCTTGTAACTAAAACCGAGTTATAATATGCGGAGATTCAACAAATTTCGATTCTTGTACGATTTCCTTTGATAAAACGTCAAAACATACGTTCTGAATCGAAATTCTGTCATTTAGTTTTCGTACAGCTTCTTTCAACAGCCAGATATTAAACTTCATTAATATATGCATGATAGATTCTGGTGACATGCTTAAAGAAGTTGTATTTAAACTGAATTCTAGGTTTTCGACTTACAGGATACATTTTGAGTGTCTACTAAAAGTAATCCTATTAAGATCCAAACAATCAAAATCTGTACATAATTTAACTCGATTTTAGTTAAAGTCTGAAGTTTTATTTGTTCTTGAGAGAACGAAGGTCAATTGTTACAGATGATTACTTGTTGAATGAAATAATATTGGCAAACTACGCTCGCCGATGAAATCAAGTCAACAAGCTGCAACTACTATCAGAA